CTTAAGGGAGTTTGTACCTGCCATAATTGCCTCAATTATCGCAAAGTTTGAACAAATTCTATTAAAGCATTTTCGAAATATTTTGAAAGGAAGTTTTAAGCATCATAAAAACAGTGAATAGCATGCTATCCACACAATTAGCTAACTTTTTAAGAAAATGATCAGCTTTGGAAACGCGGCTTCATCTCATAGTGGTTTGATTCCATTGAAAACTGTGTACAAAAAAAGAGGGGAATTGCTCTGCGCGATCGCGAGTAAGAAGAATTTTATTAACTTGCATTCAGCTGCTTTTGTTACAGTTTTTGCACGTAATTTGGTCCACGCCTACAAATTTCCCATTGTTCTCAGGCGACTAGAAAATCTTTGCTTTTTCATAGAAATCATTTGCTGGGCACACTGGATTTCACAAGTTCAGAGTGCTGGACTGCCTTCAATTTTTCTTAGAGCACAGCCTTGCAAGGGAAGGCAGGGTCAATAAAGACGCAAATATCCAGCCATCTTAACCTCACACCCGGTCAATAAAGCATAATTATTTATTACAATTTTATGGTTGAATCCGTGAGCGGGCAAGGTGAAGCAAATCCTGTGTTCTAATTGGCTACTCAAGTGGGCAAACCAATCAAGCTTGTTCGGTGAAGATAGCTGGGTATTGGCCTCGCAAAAAAGAGCCTGGCCAATATCCAGGCATCTTGACTGAATGTTGGTCAGTAACGCATAATCATTTATAACAATAATAATTATTAGAACTTTGTGAACATCTTTTCCAGAAAGGCATTTTATATTGCTTTAAAAGGGCTAGGTTATGCTATGCTATATTTTGCTCTTTGAGAGGCTTAAATGTGTCTTGGCTTAAATTAAGTTCCAAAAATAATGGTCCAGTTCTGTTATTTAAAACTTTATTGAGGCATTGGCACTGTTTCCCATCACCTCTTGCTATGTATGACAAAGATGATCATGGATTGAAACTTGGCCAACTTTTTCAAGGTTAAAATAATGCTGTGACTGCATAAATCACCAATAATTATTATGGTTTGTGCTTCTTGATGAAATTGGCTTGATGCATGTATCTTCTTCATAACTCTACAAGTCAAGCATTTTGTGTAAGGGTAAAGACACTGAGAGCGCTTTCCAAAAGTCGCAACTGGCCGGCTGGACCATGGCTGGAGCAGTCGTTTTGACAATGAAATAGCTTTTTCCGAAGAGTTTTTGCTGAAAAACCATCTCCTTTGTGCATTAGTATTTAGGTTTTGACTGATCTAGTTGGATAGTTGTAATTAAAAGTGAAATTCTCCTTACTACTGGAATGTTCTGGCCGGTCAGTTTTGACAAATGGAAAGCGCCCTAAGTAATGACTTCAGCATAGAAGTGACCTAAAACGTATACATGAAACACATAAACCGTTTTAGCAGACTTGTATTATGTAAAACTGTAGCCATACTTTGTTTGTTGATGTATTTTTTTGCATTTCAATCTTTGCAGTGGTCATAGAAAATTGTGTAGTTTAGACCACCATGTAAGAAGAGTGAGAATATTTCCTGACACCATAATTATAAAATTATCCTGAAGCAGAATGGTCGTATGAGTAAGTGGTATATGGTCATACAGGTTAGTATAGCACTTAGTGGGACTGTTGACAGGAACTGATGTTTTGACAATGCCCATGAAAATGGTGATCACCTTGTTGTCTAAACGTTAGTCGCTGTCAACAACAGTCCTGCTCAGGACTACAATGTACCTTCACCCGACAAATCATATTCCACTTTGTTGAAATAATTATTATAGACAGCCAAACATATCACAAGCCATAAACTGCACATGAAAGTGTTTATCACTATCTGCTATAACTTGAAAACACCAGTTTCCGACTCGTAAACTCGTGTTTCCGCAATAGTTACGTCCGATTACGTTGACGGAAACATGAAATTGACTTGTTTCCGGAACGTTTTCGCGTGTTTCCGCAAGGATGCCACGCATTTACTCTTGCGGAAACACGTGTTTGCTTAGACGGAAATTTGACGGAAACGTATAAAAAAGTGGTACGATTCCGCCGAAACCGCAGCGACGGAAACACGAGTAAACGTAATGTATCCGCTAACGGAAACATGTGATTACCGCCATGTTTCCGCAACGGTTTTACGTGTTTACGTTAAGTTTCCATTTACGGATTCTTGAAATTTCGTCCTGTGTAAGGAAATGAGTGAAGATGTAGCCTGCGAACAGCAGACGACCGGAAATACGTCTGCCGTTCGCGGGCTAGTGAAAATGTGGCTCAGCTGCGAATTGAACCGCGGTCTCCAGATTACTACTCGGATGCCTAGCCACTCGGCCACTGATGAACCAACCACGAAAGTATTTCCACCAACTAACGTAACGCCTGACGGGAGCCAAACAAAAGCCCCGTCATGTCTTCCTGTTTTGGTTATAATAGAAGTATAAAATATTCTGAGAATGTAATAAAGACGTCAACTTTTATTGTCATGAAATATTTTCATGATCTTCCATTTTAGGTTCAAATGGGCGGAATAAATTATTCACACAGGTTAATAAACTGAAGATTCTGTTTACTTTCCTATCAGTTCGATCAACGTACTGAACGGAGCTGTTTCGGGTAAGTAAAATATACCATAAGTTGTTGCCCTTAAGTTTATCACCCATAACTTTTTCCTATTCAACGTCATTTTGTTATACTAAGCTGATCTGATCTAAGCTGTACAAAAAAGCATCATTATCGTTAAATGTCACACTGTTTTTTTCTTGGATTAACCATATCACACTGAATGAAACCTCTCTTGATCCTTACTCGTGATTGTAGCTCGCTATGCTTCCTTGACATTTACTGAGGGCCTTTCCCCTTCCTTTGACCGTCTGTTTTTGCTTTAGTTTACATGCTTCTAGTGTGTTATGTTAGGCTTTCAGGGTTTTCTTTGATGCTGATTCTCCGTTAACGGGCGGCATTACCTTAGATAAATTGACGGATAATCGGTGGGAAAACGTTTCATAACTGACGGACGCTAAGGGAGTAAAACTCGGCCGAGAACACTTTGCTTAGCTGGGTGGCTAAAGTTGTAAAATGCCTGAGGCACAGGTTCGGAGTAACTTTCCTGCGGAGGCGAAGCATAGTTGACATAGACTCGGTTCAAACGTCGAATTTCACATGTGCCAAACTTAACGCGAGAGTTAAACGCTTGTGAAGTGCGACGTTTGAATCAATAAAATTCGACTGTTTAATTTAATACGACGTTTACCGTATCCGCGACTGAAACAGTCGAAGATTCGACTGGCTTAGGTTCGACTGTTGATTCAAAAGTCACAACGTTGTATATATGTCCCTCTCTTTTGGAAACAAATCTTAACAAAGCAAAATATAGCTTCTACGAAAAACTCTCAAGAGATTTTAGCCTCACAGGTTCCCGTTTTGAAGAGAAATAAGGCCACCAACTCCACTAATTCTAGCCATCCAGTTTTCAGCTGCAATGAAAACCCTTGTATTTGGTAATTTAATTTAACCTTTTTAGACTTTCCATCACATTCGCACGGGAACTTTACCACTTGGGAATAAAGATGAAGACAAATATGACAATCGTCTTAGTTATTCTTCTCATTATCCCCAACAGCAAACTGCCCATGCGAATGTGATGGAAAGTCTTAAAAGCGTGAATAAATTACCAAATACAAGGGTTTTCATTGCAGCTGAAAAATGGATGGTTAGAAGCACTGGCGTTGGTGGCCTTATTTCTCTTCAAAACGGGAACCTGCGACGCTAAAAACTCTTGAGAGTTTTTCGTAGAAACTACACTTTGCTTTGTTAAGATTTGTTTCCAAAAGAGAGGGACAAATACAAAGTAAGTTTGATGAATAGAAGTTCTTTAATATCACCGCGCACTCAGCTTAAAATTGTTCTTCGTAAAGAGCTAACTGTATTACCCGTAAGTTTTTGATTACTCTGTTTCTAACAAAGCTTTAGGTAGGAATATCCTTTCAGATAGGAGATAGTCTGTCGGTAGTCTTCCTCTATGTTGTGCGTCAACTTTCACAAATGTGTTCGCAAAGTATTTTAAGGTTAAATTTGACCAGCATTTTGTGCAGCGAGTTCTACGGTCACGATTGCCTTCAAACGTGCAGAGGTAAAACTAGAGAGCTCTGAGGCTTATTTGCTGAAGTTAGGGGAAAATCTTTCGTAGGATTTCGAAGTTATTTACATTTTTCATAAAAATGTGGTTTTAAATATATGCCGATATCTCAAAGGTTTTAATAGCTACAAGAAAATAAGTAACATTTTCTTTAAGTTCAATTATTATTGATTATGGATGTCAAAAATCATAGAAATCGGCTGAATCTTTCATTCTAAAAAACGCAAATCAAAAACATACCAACACGCATATAAATAGGTTTGGGCCACCTTAACCCAGGGTTAAATTTAACCCGGGGTCTCTTTATCTTTTGTTGAAAGCATTTTCTCGGATAATTTTCTCTGTTATTTTTAAGAGCATCCACTCCTTAACCGTGTTGACAGAAAGAAATAAACCGAATTTACTTTCAAGCTTTCAAATCCGAATTCAAATTTTGCACTTACCCTGGTTTATCTTAATCCAGGTTTGAACAACCCGGCCCGTAGCTATTTGTAACAAAATCACTTAACACTTCTTCATTGGGTGTACATGTAGGTGCAAATGGTAAACCGTTCTTTAGGTCTTATCATGGACGGATTTAGGGGTGGGGCCGAGGGGACTGCGGCCACTGCATTTTCCTTTATGCACTGAATTTGGTATTGTTTTTAAAAATTTTGCAGTAAAATAAAAAGTATTGCAAATGTCCAATTCAGTCCAATAACAAAAAAATAATTTTTTGTATCCACCCATATTTATCCAAAAATAAAGTTTAAGCCCTTGTGTAGCCTTATTGTTTTTGTTTATGTTTTTAAAATCATTATTCCTTGTATTCTTTTATCTAATCACCAGTTTTGTTGTATTGCAGTAACTGTTGTAGCATTAAGCTCTATCATGTCAGTGAAACAATCATTCTTGGATTTCCGTGTCACACCAGATGCCTTTGGAAAATGGATGAAACCAGCAAAGGACAAAATCAGTGAAATTATCAAAGCTACCTTCCAAGCCAATAATTGCTTTAGTACTTCTTCTGTTACATTGTTTAGTGGTGTAAATGGCGTGTGAGTGATTATTTCTACACATTAACCGTACCATTAAAGTTGCATAGAAATTTCTTACTTGTATTGTTTTCTTTAATCACAGTGAGTGTACCCTTCGATTATTTCCAGTTGGTCTGATAACGTTAGATATTGTTCAGTACATCAAAGATGTTAGTGAAGAAAAATTACTCTGTCGACAGGTAAGTTTTTGGTACATTTCCCAGCAATTTAACTGTCAAACAGTCTACAGCTGGAATTCTTGCTTGTTACAGTGTGTTCTTTTTCTTTTCTGTCCATAGCCACAATGGAAACTAACAGATCACCAGTTAAATCATGATACCCCTATAAGGTCAACGTCTCTTCCTCCCCCCCCCCCCCCCTTACAAGCCTTTTTAAAAATTCCAATGTGTGAAGCACAAAATAGCAGTGCAATAATAACACCCGGGCCCCCGAAGTCAACTTGAACAAAGATCAAATGTCACAGGCTACTAGAAGTTATAAAACACACCATATTCTTATCAATGCCATTAAGAATACAATTTACATGAGTTTTTATTTCATTGTTTCATTACTCACAGTTGAGAGAATTTATTTTCCCAGGATTACACTGACCTTAGAGACAAGGTTGATGAGGCCTTATCTTGCGTGAAAGCGGATTTTATTCCTACCATTTGTAGAGGACGGGACATTCTATGCTATCATGACACATCAGATGGCCAATTTAAGGAATATGATTTTGACAAGTTAGTATTGCTGGTTTTCACAGTCATGCCATCAAAAATCAAATAAAAACTATTCAATAGGTAAAGCCAAGAATCTGGGACTTTAGTGAAAGAAGATTATAATAATAATTATGCAAACAACGTACAGTAAAGCCAAGATCAAGGTCCCTGCAAATTTTCATCTGCAAGATACTCAGAGAAATCAAGAGATGTCACGGCCACCATTTAAATTCTGCATCATGTTGAAGCTTAGGAATTTAAATGTACTCTCCGTTCACAGAATGAAGAACCGTTATTTTGAAGTGAAAATTTGTAAAGATCCCATCATGCAACATACTTGCTTCATTTGCTGCATGAGCAACGAATGTTGCATGCGGATGTCGAGGGGAAGGGGGCTTATGATAACTTTCTTTCCCAGGAAAGGGGAGGGGTTAAATTAGTGGGGGAATTAATTCACGTTGAATAATTATAGAGGATTTATGGTACATGTAGGTGCTTATAACCTTATTTTTCCCTCCCTTGTCTTGTAAATTACAGGGAAGTGTTCAGATACAAATCACAATATCAAGATATCTGGATTGTACATTCTAATCGTTTTGGAAACATGCTATTTCTGGATCTTGTTGAGAGTAAGTGGAATTGAGCTTTGCAGTAAGCAGACATTCATCTTTTTTTTATCATTAACAAAATCTTGCACCATGTACAAAGTTTTCTGCTCTGTCTGAGCAGTTGCTTCAAGGAAGGAAGAATGCTATTTATAGTTTAATGCAATGTATATTGAGTGTATACAATTGTCTGGATTCATGTGTTCCTTTAGGATGATTCGGATCAGTGATCCAAGATTACTTAGATCATGAACATGAACATCAAATGAACCAATGAATCCTTTCCCTGGTTGGATTTATCAGTTCCTTTGATGCACTCTAATCCATCATCTTCATGAATGCACTTTACTTCTAATCAGCAGTGTTATAAGGTATATACCTACTGTTAATTCAGCTCTTATACTCTTTGGCTGTAAATTCAGGGGCACCCAACGATGGTTTCCTTCTAGATACATTGAAAACACTTTTTAGAAATTGATTTTAAGCGGCGCTACAAAATTTGTATCTGTTCGGTCATCCTAGGGGAACTTGAGTCTTTCTAAAATTACAAGGGCTTGAGGTTTATTTTTCCGAACATTTTAGGTGAAATTTGACGTATAACGAAAGTAAGACATTTCCTGATTCTTAACGCCATCAAATTTTTGAATCCGAAAATGTTAGGTTACCTTTTTTCTGCAAAAAATAGCGTAATTCGGGAAGTAAAATGTGAAAATTAAGCTCACAGAAAATCGTAGGGAATTTGTACGATATGCCTCGAAAATTGTACATGAACAGAACGGTCACATCTAGAGATTTTTAGCCGTCCTAAACTAAATCAATATATTCTAGGAAACAGATTGCGAATTTAGCAGATATAACTTGAAGTGTTTAGAGAAGCGGTAGTTAGCATACATTATTATTCATTCAAAATATTTCCCCGATTTTGATTGGCTAAAAGCACCCGTTTAATTCACCATAACCAGTTACTGACGACCAAATGTAGAAGAATTTTGTGTTTAACGAGGAAATGACGTCAAGAATGCAGCCTTCTGCAGGTTAATGAACCGTTAACCGAGAAGACCTGGGGACGAGGTTGAGTTGTTTTGGTTGTGAAAACAAAAATGGCCGACACTTCACTCGTTTCAAGAGTAAGAACTACGTCTAGAACTAGGCGAAGTAATAGTTAAAAACAGCAAGAAGACAACTCGGAGGTCGACATCTGCTATTTGGAGAATATTTGCGGAGCTGGACAAACCTAAACGTACACTATCGAAGATGAACTGAACATCGATGGATCGATGGAGGTAAGCATGTCTTAGCTATGTTTTTAAACTAGGAAGTATTTTGAATGAGTAATAAAACAATTATTGAATTCGGCTTTCGTATCATATGAAGAATTATGGAGATCTCGTAGGGTGTTATCCGCCTCGGCCTACGGCCTCGACGGATAAAACCCTCCTTGATCTCCATAATTCTTCATAAGATACTCAGCCTCATTCTTTAACTGTTAATGTAGATAGGAGGCGTTTAGAAAAGAAGCAGTTATTCTAATAATTGTAGAGAAAATCTAAAGTTTAGAGGGGCATTTGTACGGTGATCATTATAGTGAAAGAAATGTCTCTTTCTTGTATTGTTTTTCCCATTTGTACCTGTACCTGTCCTGTTCTTTTTAAAGCACTTAACTTATAGTAACTGACCTTACTTGTCTTCACAGTGATAGCAGAAGGAGATATTATTTACACAAAAACACTGCTTGCAAATGGCAGAGAAAACTACAAAGATAAAGAAATACTCATTTTAGGAGGAGGAGATGGCGGGGTATTGCATGAGCTACTGAAGGAATCCCCAAAATTTGTCACCATGGTCGAGATATCCTTGAAAAACTGTTGCAAGTTAGAAGTGCATGCAAAAAGGTTAAGACAACAGCTGACACGTAAATTATCACTAAGTTCTGATATAAACATGTATACACTCAAACAGCCGGATATCCCACCATCTTTCGATATTAATTATTACGCTCTTTTATATGTTTAGTCAAAAGAACATCCAAGCACTAAGAGCCGGTTAGCGGAGTTTAACGAGTGTTTAACAAAACCAGAAAATGTTTAATTCTTGCTGACAATTTCTTTTTCTTTTTTTTCTCTTTCCTTTTTTCTTTTCTTTATTGTTAAAAAAATTAATCCAAATTTTCTTTCAGTTCCCTTAACTTGCATGGTTTACCCTATAGTTCCAGGAAGCCTATAGTTTATAAGCCCCCGGCTTCCATGTAGGCTTCCATGCCATTACCACTTTAAACATCTGATTTTGTAAATAATTTAGTTAGAATAGTGTATATTATCTTTAATCTATTATAAATTTCTGTATACTGTTGTTGTATTTGTGGTTAATGGCAAATGACAATTACCGATTAGCGTAATAACTCGAGCTCCTGATTTCCCTTAACGTGCTATTACATAGACAAAATTGTTGTCGAAGCTGCAGCGAAGTACTTGCGAGGGGTTTGCGGTGACACTTTAGATTCGTATACAGGACCTAACTATGAAGTAAGTATTAACTAAACTTTCTGAATGTAAAGTGTCTCTGATCGAGTGTTGTAAACCTGCATTAAAAACCAACTGACTAATGAACAGGGAAAAAAAACCATCAGGAGAAAGTGTAAAAACGCAATGTGGGAAATTTCTGCAATTTGATTGGCTTAGAGCAGTGGTATTTCAGCTTAGTTTGAAATACCTACAAGTGAAAATTAAAAACCTTTCGTGGGTAGTAGTATAAACAAAGAATAGCATGATTTGTACGTGATATTTGGCATAAATACCACGAGTGATATTTCAAAATTGTCTCAAATTAAGTATAACAATTTTGAAATATCACTCTGGTATTTATGCCAAATATCACTACAAATCATGCTATTAATTATACAAATACAAAAAGAAGCGCGAGAGAACAAACTTAAAGAAGATCAAAACGGATTGCAATTGTGGTTTTTTGAAAACTTGTTAGCCTAACAGTTTGTTTTTCAAAGTTCATTTTTGTTGTTTACAACGTTGCTTGGGAGACATATTTGTTTGGCGTGAAGCTGTGATTTTAAGCAAACAAGGACGTGTAACTGATGACACAGACCCTTTAAGGCGACTGAACACAGTTTTGGCAGTTTGTGAGTATATGTCATTTGCCAAATCAAGGCAAGAGAAAGGTTGCAGCTCACAAGCTGAAACTTGGCAAGTAAAAAATACACTAATGAAAGATTTTGATTGACGTGTAAAATGTGACGTTTTCCTAGTTTCCAAGGCAACATGAACGGTTGAATACAACCTTAAAATTCCACTTTGCTTAGTTTACAAAAAAATCGCTCATTAGATTTTCCTATAAAATTTCACAGCTTACTATAATTAATAAACCATTTAAAACTTATTTGACCAAATTTTAACAGACGGGCTTTCAGATAGTCAATAATATAATTGTACTGTGATTATTAAATGTGTCACAAAATGCGTCTGTTCAACTTCCATTTTAAAGCTAGTTCTCATCAATTAAAATACCGTAAAAGTAAAAATTCTCCCAAATATCACAACATTTTAATGAGTACATTTTGAGAAATCGTCCTCTGTGTACTTTTGCTTTTTGGTCGCCATGTTTGTTTGTCTAACACGCGCCGTCACTCGAGTTACCGCTGACCGCCCGCAAAGCTGTGTTCAGCCATCTTAACTGGTAGTCAAAAGTACGAGTCATAACTGCATACCCTTACACGGTATCAAAGAACGCCAAAAAATGGGATTGATGTATCAACCGGATTTTTTAATGAACGTTATCTCCAATTAGACCTCTTCCGTCAAGTTGTTTTCTCTTCAAAGTTATTTTTCCTCCAAAGTAGCCAATAAAAAAACTACTTAGTGCGACCATTCACTTTTTTCTCTTCTCTTCCTTTCATCTTCCTCGCTCTTTTTTTCCCTTTCCTTTTCCTTTGCTTGTATGGTTTTCGAAAATATCATGCACAAAAAACCCTTGCCTTTTGGCCCCTTTTCACTCAAATGGCTGCAAATTTCGCTGGGTTCGTTTTTAAAAAGTCGGCTTGAAATTTGTGCAGATTTTTGTACGTGTACACTGTAAGTATAATCTTTCTCCTCACAGTCTCATTCATAGCTATTGTGAGCAGAGTACATTTACATGGATATTCGTGGGAACAGTGCAGTTTGGTATAAAGGATGTTAGACTATTAAACTAGATCTGAGGTCCAAACGCTTTTGCTCCAACGCTGTACTTTGCGTAAGTTTCACGTGACAGATGGTCAAAACACTCGTGGTGGGAGTAAGAGGGGTAGAAGGTCGATCCGCGCGTGATCAAAGTGCGTTTTGTGCATTCCGTTCATTCTTGATTAAGTCCAAACGAATGCTGGCTACATAGATGCGACGCATGCGTAATAACAACCTGTAGATTAGGATTGCGGGCTCCTCTTGTCACCCACAATAACTAGTAGTAATCATAGATCAATGTATGCGTTGGCGTTTTCTTCGATTTACCATGAAACATTACTATCGTGCTGAAATGGTCACCCTACAGTGTAATTACCCGACAGGATAATCAAAAAGTGTACCACAGGATTGCCAAGAATAGGAATTGCGTTCTCCTAACGTCCAACGCAAATAGCGAAGGTGCCTCGCGTTTGTGGAACGTAGAGCTTTCAAGAGCTCTCTCACAAACCTCGTTTGACTTTGAGCTCACAAAACAATCTTATACTACTTATGATACAGGTCAGGATTGATGATTGTATAAAGGCACTTAAGGAGTACGTGGAACTGGGAAAGACATTTGATTATGTGATCAATGATCTGACAGACATACCAATAAATGTCTCTTTGCAAGGTGAGTGCAACAGTTAAGCAAGACAAGAACGATGCTCGCATTTAACCAAACGCTTTCAAACAGACCACAGTTGGTTTTCGGAGAGTGGAGAAGCTATATGGGATGGGGTTTTAGCCTGCGAGGAAGCTCTCCGGGGCGCTCTGGCGGCGGGCGAGAAAAGGAAGGAGAGCTTGCAATTACGTTTTTGAATTTGAATTCCACCTCCAATTCCCATGTGGCTCCCAGTCGACTGAGCTGTCAGATTTCTGCCAATCAGCGCGAAGCGGAAACTAGTGCGAATGTATTATTTTATCGAAGAAGAGGAGAAGCATCTGAGAATAGATACATTTACTATTACGTCACAGAAAATAAGGCATCCTCGAGTTGTTAAAACCAAAATAACATGTATCAGAAAACTTCAAATCTATTGATTTGAACCCGTTTACTTTAACAGAGCAGTGTCAGTCATAAGTTGATTCAAAGCAAGGTTCGCACTTCAACTGCTACCTTCAAGCGCTGAAACCGCTTCTCTCCATCGTGAAGCCAGTGGCGTTGAAAATAATTCATCGTCAGTTCCGTTGTCATTGTTGTTGGTGTTGTTGTTTGTGTTTTTTATTTGATAAAAAGTTCAGAGCATCATGATGAAACAATAGCTCATGTGCAGGGGCGTAGCTAAGATTTTCAAAGAGGGGGGAGGAGATGTAACATTGTGACACACCCAGGTTACTCAAGGTATTATATTGTCGACTTCCATGTAGTGTTTTTCAAAAAGGACATTTTTTTTTCGGATGCTCTCGTAAGCGACCAACCCCTATTGTTTTATACTTTCCTTCGCTTGAGAGCTCATTTTCGAAAGCGATTAGCTCTAATTTCGAACACTTTTTAGAGTTTCCGAGGTGGTCGCTTACGAGAGCTTCGACTGTAATATACTGAGATTTAGCCAGAGCTGAAGGGAAGCTCCCGTCGGTAAATTTATAATTTAAATGAAACAAGAAACTTTTAATCCACAAATCACTTGACTTTAGGGCACGTTAGTTCGATCACATTAAAGAGCCATTGATCACAGTAGATTAGGCAGGCCGAATTTTTTGCGTTCGGTAAGTTTACTTTACAAAGTCTTGTCAAAAAATCTGGTGGCGTGTAAGCCAGCCTTTTATTCTATTTAAACATCACATTTGAGGTGAAACGGTACTATGAGGCGCTGTTTTT